ACCTGATGGATCAAAGATACGATTCTGACGAATTTGCAACCCACTCAACGTGCTCCTCAATCTGGCAGACGTTTTAAGATACTTCAATGCTCGTGAACGCATTCAAGAGCTCTGCGCTCGTGCTCATTAAGACACCTCAATACTTGTGAAGGCAACCAAAGGAAGGCTTGGTGCTTTGGGATCATCCAAAGTGTCCAAAGAGGACAGCTGAGGCATATCGAATCCAGCATCCATCATCGTTGAGCTGTGGTTTTATGAAGCTTCTTTGTTCGACCGGTAACTACTAACTACCCGCAACTACCTTCTTGAGTTTGCAAAGGGCAGCTATAGACTTCATCTCAACTCGTACAAGACCGATAAAACACACGGGCCTCAAAAGCTCGACATACCAGTCCGACTTGGCAACGTAATTGCAAAAAAGTCTCTCCGTCTTTCCAAGAAAATACCTTCTAAGCCGAATGAGAACACCAGATGCCCCAATGGGGTCGGGATACTTGACCAAGTTTTTGGCGGCCATTTATCCTGATTCAAACATGGGATCGTGCCTCCTTCGGAAGATCACCGTTAGCAATGCAATGCGAGATGCTCCGAGCCTTTCTGAAAGAGACCAGCTCGCAAAATCCATGTTACACAAGCATCGATAGCGATGCGTTACTATGAGGCAAGTACAGACCTGATGGAAGTCGCATCCAATTCTGAACGGTTGAAAACGTCCACTTGCCATTTGAAAGCTCGTTCAGGACACTTCGATACCTGCTGTGAACGAGCTCAACGGAACGGTTGGTGCTCTGAGATCCTCCAGCGTGTATATCGATGCTATTTGAGAAACGTCAAAGCCTGCGTCTGCTAAACGGATTAGCGTCTGTTTGTGCAATCGTTTGGTGGTGCCGGAAAGGAGACGTTTGTAAGCTTTTTGCATGAGGATGCTCTCTTTGTTGCGATTGTAGTACCTTTTAACAATCTGTGCGTGCTGTTCGTGGTGCTCCTTCCGGTATGCACGGCTTGTTTCACACACTCGGCAACGGCATGGATGGGTGTTGGTGTCGGTCAAAGACTCTGTATTGCATTGGACCATGATGATGCCCTACAACTAAGCTTCGAAAATAAGCAGTCGGAGAACGCGGTTGCCGATGATGCGCGTTCAAAAGGGTCCCAAAATTTCCTCACACGAGTGTAGACATCATGGCCACAATCGGTGCTGTCCAAGCCAACGCCTCAGGACCTGGGGCATCCAAGTTGTCTAAGGGCCCAGGGGCCCAGGGCATTCGAGACGAGATCTTACGGCTCCGCGAAGCTGGGCTCCTCTCCATCCCAGTGCATCTTTTCTGGAACGGGGACGAAGGTAAAAAGGACGCAGATTTCCCTCACAAGTGGTGTCACATTACGGATTCCAAGTCGTGGGAAAACTCGATCGAAGCTGCTCTAGAGCAGAGGGCTCACGATGCCAACGGCGTAGCCATTCTGACGGGTCCGAGCCATATCTATGTGATTGACGTTGATGTTGTCAAAAAGAAGAACGGAACGCTTCCTGGAATGGACCTTTGGAGCCAACTCATTGCTCGGCATGGAGAACCGCAGACCCTCAAAGCCCAATCAGGCTCAGGCGGTCAGCATTTTTTCTTTAAGGCTTCTACGCCGGGGCTAAAGTGCACCCGTAACTTTCAAACGGTCAAGGTGGATGGCAAAGTGTACGGTTTGGATGGACGCGGAATTGGTGGCCTGGTGTACGTCCAACCGGCAAGTTACATAAATGGTGAGGGCAAACTCGCAAGGTATCAATGGCTGAACGGCCCCCCGAGTTTTGATGCATGCAAGGAGATGGACCCTTGGATTGTCGAGCTCGTAAACAACCGCAATAGCCAGCGCACAATGATGAGCGAAGACGAATGTGTGCCACGCAATGCACCGTTGGCGGCGTCAGAATCGGAGTGTGTTGAAGTCGAGCGCAATCAGCGGCCGACTACGAGCTCCGGGTCGCCACACATCAAAGACCTCTTGCTGGCACAATTTGCACAGATGCTAAAAGAGGCCGGCGATTCGACGAGCACATACGCCGGGTCGTTGTCGCGCGGCCTCTATGGGAGATACTATTGCTACCGGACGCATGGGCCTCGAAGGTGCTACTTTGGCCATATGCATTCGGGAAGCAACAACTTTAACTTGCTCAAAAGGGGTCGGAATGTCTACTATCGCTGTCATGGTGCTGAATGCAGCCACAAACCGGCCAAAAAGCTAGGGGTCTTGAGCGACCTCAAGGCCGCCTTGCAAGACGCAACCAGTGCGGCCGTGGACCCCCATGACGACATGCAGGTGGTCACTCAATACACCAGAGGGACTCGAGAGGTCCAGGACTTGCTGCTTAAGATCGTTGTGGAGCATGCTGCTCCTAAGGCGTATGTCAACTTGGGACGCCTCTTTGCCTATATGTACATGATCGAGGGCCGCATTCTGGCGACCACCAATGATGCGGAGAAAAGTCGAGATTCGCACTTCTTTGTCTGGAACGGATCCTCGTGGGTGGAAGACAACTCAAATCTGGTTGCCAGCGTGTTCACGTCTCAGATGGGTTGTTTGCTGGCATGGTATGAGAGAGAGCGAGAGAGGGTTTTGAGTACCTTGTACTCCAAGCACCCAGATTTGGAGGTCTTCCTGGTGGACGGCATCCTCTGAAAGCCTCTCAACATTGAAGAGGTCAATCCAAAGGTTCTAAAGAAGATCAAGATGGCCACAGAGGCGTGCATGAAGGAACGAGACGAGAGCATGCCTAGCTTTGGCAAAATCAACGTGCAGGACATTGTTGACGTTCGAAAGTGCATGCACTCTGTGGTCAACGAGCTGCACGTACCAAAATTGCTCGACATGTTTGATCAGGATCGTGCGGTTGCAAACGCGCCCAACGGATTGATCGATCTTCGAGCGGGGGTGCTCTTGCCCCATCATCCTCAAGACCTCTGCTACAATCAGACGAGCGAGTACATACCCGGCGCTTCATTGCGGCCCACCTCCAAATTCCGGACGTTTCTGATGGAAGTTCTCCCACCGGATGCAATTGATTGGCTCCAGATGTTTCTGGGATATTGCCTCACCGGCGAGACGTCGGAAGAGCTTTTTGTCATTGCAAACGGGTTGTCTGGAAGCAATGGAAAGGGAGTGTTGAAGCAAGCACTCCGGAAGGCATTCGGAAGCTACAATTGCGCCGGGAACAAGGCCATATTCATCAAGCCAACGTTCAAGGCAAACGCTTCCGCAGCATCAACCCATCTCATGCAGATTCGGACCAAGAGGCTTGTGACAAACGATGAATCCGAAGGGGTTGAAGAGCTCCATGCATCGTTTGTGAAGGAGGCAAGCGGCGGCGGCGAGCTCGATGCGCGCGAACTCTTTTGCAAGCCACAAAACTACGTTCCCCAATTCAAGCTGTGTCTCTTCACCAACTTCAGGCCCCACTTTCCAAGCGACGATACCGCCTTGATCCGACGGATTGTGCTCATCATGTTCAACTATACATTCAAAAGTCCTGACGAGCTCGATGCTTCCAATAGGTGGCACAAGCCCATCGATCTGAGTCTTAAACCCTACTTTGAGTCGGACGAGGGGGCCGCAGACACTCTGGACTTTTGCGTTCGAGGGGCGATCATGTACTATGCCAAGAAGGCGCTTGCACCCACTGCAAGGGTCCTGTCTCCAATCCCCGTGGCATTCAAAGCGGCAGCAGACGAATACGCCGGAGAGAATGACAAGCTTCAAGCGTTCATAGACGAGGTTTGTACAAAATCTCCTTTTAAAGAAGGCCCCACTGCGAAGATTGCCAAATCTGATTTTGTCGAGGCCTTTAAGAACTTTTTGTATGCTGGTGGGCACGACGTGGGCCTGGCGGGTGATGGGTTGTCGAGGGCAATGCGCTTAAAGGGGTACTTGCAACAACCGCCCGATGGTGGAAAAGCCTTCATGGTCAGAACGATTGATGGTAGATCCCGAGGCAGAGGCTTTTTTGGTATCCGTCTGAAGACAGAGGAGGAACTTAGGGCCGAAGAGAATTGAAGGCGGGCAATTGAGTGCTGATACAACATGATACACGAATGTGGTCATTTTAAATGGATGTGTATCAGCACCAAATATTCGGGCTTTCCTTCCGTGCCGTGCCTTTTTTACGGCAATTTGGCTTCTTGATGCGTCAAGAAGTATTGATGAGGTTGCGGCAAATTGCACTTGTGGTGCCTACCGCGGAAAAGGTGCACTTTTTGAGCTGATACAGGTGATACAAGATACACTATCAAAGTGTATAGAGATTTTTTCCATTTTTTTTTAATTGCTTTATATAGAGACGCTCGCCGTGAAAACGTGTATCAACTGTCTCATTTGTATTAGACCACAACCCACCCCATTGCAACATGATTTGCACGGGAAAGTCCGAAACCACGGCCTTTGGCGGTGCGGAAAGGCCATTGCAGTTGTTTTTATCGTCGATCAAAGACACGCCTTGTATCCTTCTGGGACATGATACAGAACGGAAATTGTGTATCAATGTTTGTATCATAGTTGAGACGGTCCAGAAGTGCAACGAATTGCCGTCTCTACCCTAGCAAGAGCCTCCGGGAGATGGCCGCCGTCCAAGCAGCCGCCGCAATTGCAATGCTAAACTTGGCGTCATCGACCCGCCGCAAAGAGCTGTTGTAACCGCCAAGGAGCAGAGGCAGGATCACCATAAAGCTCTCAAGCCCGGAGTACCACCCCAGACTCCTGAACCCCTTGAGAAAGGAGTTGACGGACTCCACGGCCGATGATGTGTTCACCCAGTGCAGGGCGTTGTAGTTGTCGGGGCAATTCGAGGGGCCACACTTATGGACTTCGGCTCTAGCCTTTGCGTAGTGGAACCTGCGCATAAAAAGGTGTACATTATGAAGCGG